AATATGAATAGTTCTAAAATATATTCGAATAATAGAACATTGAAGTTATAACAAAGGCACTACACTAACCTTCAAACCAACTAAAATCAGCCGGATGATATCGGGTAACTCTACCTTCCAAGATATCATGAAAGAGGATTCCGGCTTCTCGATTTGAACATTTGTTGATAATGGTCTGATCTACGATAAAGTGTTGGCCCAATATCTTGCCTATTGGGATGTAATAATATTTAAATACAATCCCATCTATATCACACAAAAAATAAGAATGAGAAAAATTAATTATAATCAGAAATTTTATATAAAATTTACCTTTGGATGTTGTTACACATCTTTCGGTTGGTTAAATAAAACGACTGTCCCGCTTAATAAATTTTTTGGTTGAAGATACATCGAATTGTATTTTAGCATCGTTCATTTGTTTATCTTCGGGATTAGAACCAAGACTATCGACTCACAGCTTAACTTCTTCGAGCCACAATTTAAAAGCATTGCCATCAAATTTTTTTGATATCAATTGATGACAATGAACCGATCAATTTGATTCCTGCATATCGAATGGTAATCGAGTCTTCTCAAGTGTTCTCTTGTAGATGTCGAAGAAGAAACTCGCATATCATCATTCAACATTAACTAATTTAGATCTTTTTTTATTTTTAATGTTTGGTTAATGATGAAAAACCGAATTTTCCAAAAGATAAGATGTTGAGAATTGTATTAAGATATTCAACGCAATTTTGGATATTTTTGGATATTCAGATTGAATTTGAATAAATAATCGTTGAATCTTTATGGGTAATTCTTTTTTGTATTTTCATTTTTCTCCAAATCAATTACTTGACTGTGCTTGATTGAATTTATGTGTTAGCCATTGTCGTAATATCGTTCGTTCATTAATTAAAGTTTCGAAATCCATTATTTCTGAATATATCCTGTTGGCTCGTTTGTGATATATACTGAATTATCACAAGAAAAATCATCACCAAAAAAAATTATTTTTTTTTCGCCTCTATATAGAGCGAACAACATGTTATAACATTTGTAAAAAAAAAATTTTGTGAAACAAAAAAGAAATTCACTCATTTTTATATATACTTTTTGTGACAAGCAAAAAAAAGAAAAAAATAGAAAACGGAAAACGCTTTTCGAAATCGAAAATCTATCCATGTACATAATTGATCATTCATATAGTAGGTTATATTATTATTGTTTTCCGTTTTAGAAAATTATTACATCACTTTAAAAAAAAAAATGATTGTAAACGCAAATTAAGGCAAAAGAAAACATTTTAATTAATCAAAAATTTTATTAAATAAAAAAAACAATAATAAAGGTTTCTTAAGGCCACATCAGAGTGGCCCCATGTTATACCCAAAAATGAAATATCGTCACAGACAAAAATGTCTTTGTAACTTTTTTTTAAAGCCAATTTTTTGTTCGTTTACCGACCAAATCATCAGTGAATTGATGCTTTTTCGATTTTGTAATCGGTTTATGATAATTGACGATGTCAAGATATAGGCAATAAACTTTGTATTTTTTTTTTGGAATATTCCCGTAAGGGATTCGTTATTCCGAATTCGTCTCCATATATTGTAAGACCAAGTTTAAAAATATATTTTTGATGGGAATGTAATAATAAAATCGATGATTTAACACTGTATTGGTTGGATGAATTTAGGCATTGTTTTGATGAATTCATATTGTAAATATGACGATCGTGTAATTTTTTTTGTATGGACGAATATTTTTCATTTCTTGTCCATCGATAAATTCAGATAACAATCTGATCATGGATGACAATGGGATATGTTCGGCGTCTAAAAACCGAATGAGCTTTATTTCGTTTAATATATTAATCATGAAAAGATCGCGTGTGAAAAAGATCGGGCTATTGAGCAACCCGTTCATATACAATGTTACAATAAATTAATAAAAGATGAAAATACAATAATAGTAAGAAATTATATTTAATTTTATTATTTTACTTAAAAGATCAATAAAAAAAGTCGGAAATAATACAAAAATATTTTTACAAAGATAAAGATACAAAAAGTACAAAAAATACAGAAAAAATATAAATACAAAAAAAAAAAAGAAAAAAGAATCTTGCTATAGCATCTACCACGACGATCATTTCTTTTATCGTTCCAAGATTTATGATGTGCATTATAGTCACCCCACTTAGTATAATCGGCTGATCTCGATATTTTTTTATAATTTTTTCTGAAAAAAATTGATCAAATTGTCAAAAATACAATCAGAACCAACATATATTGATACAATTATAAAAGAAAAATTTCCGAAATTTGCGATAATAGCACAGACGTCTTTTGATTCTGTATCGATTTGATCAAATTTAATTTTATCATTTAAAATAACAATCATTGATCTAGAAAGTGATAAAGATGGAACTATAATTTTTTTTTATTGTTGAAAATTTGATGACAGTCAAATGGATTTGGCGGCTCCTGAATCAAACATAGGTCGATGTTAAATTCTTTTATTATTTCTGAGATTTTTTCCATCGATAAATTATTTTTTCTTAGGTTAGCTTGAATCATTGTTAATTTTGGTTAAATTAGGTAATTTCGGAAACATCATTCTTTGTTTTGTTTGCCGCATATAACAAATTCAGTTTCGTGACGATTTCAGAAGAACGACGAACGAAATTTCGAAGTTCGAAGGTATCACAAACATAATGCCGACTTATACAAGCATGTTGTTGCTTATTATCGAACAACATTTTTCGTTAGAAAACATGCTTTATTTCCTCTGTTCATTCATAGAGTACGTACAAATCGAAAAAGGACACACAAATAATAAACAATCAAATCATCAGTTTTCATGTTATAGGCTTTATGAAATTGATTTTGTTTTTAATTGATCGAATAAGGGCTTATCAATATTTCCCAGTTGGAAATTGTGCCTTTCAAATAAGATCTAGCACCGGATAATTTTTTCTTCATTATTTATAACGAATAATGATTCATTGATTAATTTTGGGCCAGCAATCATTAGGCCAGCATCTCGTATTTTCTTGATTTCNTTTTTTTTTTTGCTTGTTAGAACGATAACATAATTAAAATGAATGAAGACTTTTCGATTTTATTATATACATATGATGAAGAAATAACCACTATCCGTTAATTTTAAAAAACTTTACTTTATTCAATCAATTTGAAAATACACAAATAAATTTAGCTTATACAAAATCACATGAAAAGAAAAACAAAACATCGTTTACAAAAATCATAAAAACTCGTCAATGAAAAGATGCTGATTTTTGTTTTTATACCCTATTTTTTTCTTTGTTTTTGTTTTTTCATTTTTAATTTTCGACTTGAGTCGATTTTATTTATTGACATCACATACATATGTCACGTTTAGGAAAAGTAAAAACAAACTTTTATTTATTTTTCAAAAAAACGTTAAAACAATTTTCGTTGATAAATCTCACACACACACTTCGAAATTAACTTTTCCGCTGAGTTAATCATGTTGTTTTTCCCGTTCACAACAACCGTGACATACAATTATATATGAAAAAAAACTAATAAGGTTTATAAGCACGTGGCGGAAAAGGATGAGTGAAGAGGAAACATGCTGCGGTGCGCAAACGCATGCTACAGCGATTTACATAAAATCTACCATTTTATTTTAAAAAGAAGATAATCGTTAATATGCGATAAATGATCGCAGTTTAATATTTTACATTGTTTGTTTTTCTTAACCAAGATCAAATTGAATTTTTTAATAATTTCACCGTCTTCATTGCGACGCTTTCATTCAGTCCAAATGAACCCTTTTATGAACATTTGTCCTGTTTCTACCATTAGTAAGAAACATTGATTGCTTGGATCCAAATTGTATCCTTGGATACGTAATCTTCTTAATACATTTTTGCCAATTTTGAAATCGCCTTGGTGTGTTTTCAGAATTTTTGCACATTTCTACAAATTTCAATTTTCATTGACTGACAATTAGTTTTCGATGATTTCAATAGATATGGCTTATTGGCATCAATTAACACTTCAGCCATCACCAAAAGAATGGGTGGTTGGGGTAGTAATCCCATATAAATATGATTTCTATTGAACAATTGTGAAACAATAGTAAATTTGTTGTTCAAAATTATTTTATCACAAATTTCACTGGGTTGTATACCCAAATGAAAATTTTAACGGTGAAGATTTTTTGGACGACCATTGTTCATGTACTATCAAATAAAATGAATAATAATAATATCCAATTAAATATCTATTCACATAATTTTAATTTGATTAATTTACCTGGTGGCACACGAATGTTGGTAATGTATCGATAAATCGATTTTGTTTTTAATTGATCGAAAAAGGGGCTTATCAATATTTTCCAGTTGGAAATTGTGCCTTTCAAATAAGATCTAGCACCGGATAATTTTTTCTTTATCTGTGTGTATACGTTGATGTCGTTGTAAATTCGAACTGTCTGAAGTTGTATATTGACATTGATCACATTTGAAAGGTTTTTCACCTGTGTGTATACGTTGATGTCGATTGAGATTAAATTTTTCTTCAAATCGATATCCACAAATAATTTTTTCTTCATTATTTATAACGAATAATGATTCATTGATTAATTTTGGGCCA